CAGGGATTACACAGAATTAAAGCATCCTTTAGTGTGCTGTGAGATTCTGGCACTTCAAGAAGACAATTATGAACAATCCACAATGTAGAATTGTTCTAAATCCTTCTTGCCCACCCTTAGGCTTCCCTTAATATTCTGACGTCTTGAATAGAATTACAAATGATCAACTGGTTTGAAGTCTGGCGATTGAGATGGCAAGTCAAGAATTTACTTCCTGCACTGTTACCTATTCCTTTGCTGTTTTCGATGTATGTGTTGGACCATTTTAATGCTGGACTGTCCATATTTGGCCAAATGTAAGCTTCGTAGTAGAATGAATCTGGTGTCTGGCCTAAATATCCTAGTTCATGATTTTTCCTGTCTTCACAACGGCTTCAGGACCCATAAATGCAAAACTATTACAAAACAGTAGATCCCTACAATACTTAACAGTGGGCATGAGCGTTATCTATTATCTTTTCTATGCCAAACATAATTCTGATGAACATGTCCAAAAAGTTCAATTTTAATTTAATCTGACAATAAGATGTGAAAGTTCTAGTCTCATTTTGGTTTGCCCATGCGTTGTTCACCCTCAGGAGGCTTTTTTTCTGCTATTTCAGCTACAAATCTCACATTCATGCAGACAACTTTGATCGTTTTCAAACTTTGAATCCTAAAGTTGGCAGTTTACAGTATATTGGAAATCTCCGACTGTTGCCTTTGGATTTACAGTTGCCTCTCAAACTGACAGCCCTGATGGCAATTCATGCTTATGTTCTACTTCTAGTATGGTGGCCTCAATCCCATTAGTCTTTTTTTTTTGTTAATAAGGAGCACTACGGTAGAAATGTGTAGAGTCAGCTTTTTGTGGACTTTTACCTTTTATCTGCAGTCTTTGAAGAGGTCTTTGATCTTAATAATAATGATTATTATTAATAAGATTATTAATAATAATGATATTGCTTGATGTTGTCTGTGTATAACCTACCTTTATATTCCAAGGATGCAGGAAGGTTGTGAAAGTTTATAAATAAATAAATAATTAGAGGTGTGAATAAATGTGACCCGCAGTGTTATCATGATTACAGGGTAACTTCATTAGAATTTTTTAAGTAAGACACATTATTCATTCTGCTTTATTATGTTTTTTGATTCCTGTTTCATTGGGGGGTATTAAGAATTCTGGAGGACACTGTACAACCCTTATATATACTGTACAGTTTGTGTGTTTTTAATTTGAAAATTTTTCTAAACGTTGTTTTCTTTTTTTTTAGGTAAGAAAGTGTACCTTTACCTCAGATATTTTTCCCTTGCACTTAAAATTTATTTAACTTTTCAGCCTTTATGTATGTTTTGGTTGCTAACAGGGAAAGGTCAGCTAAAATGATGCAGGATTTCAAGTATCATATTAGGAAAGCTCAAAGAAGGTTTCACTGGTTGCAGTGTTTTTATTTATGTTTTTCTTTTGGCTCGCTGTGATTTATGAGAAACAGATGACAATACAGGCTGTTGCAACTGAGGTACTGCCATGAATGAAATATTAATTGTGGTGCTGAAATGCCACTGGCAATATGGGATTTTATTTCAGTCATGTTGAATAAGGAAATCAGCAATGCTGATAAAAATATAATATGTAGGTTCCAGGATAGACAGAGTTTTAAGATCATGTTTCATTTTTTTTCTAAACTGCAACCTCAAGTTTAGTTAACCTAGTGGTCAGCTGATCTGTGTTAAATTAGCAGCCGTTTGCTCAGTGCCGTCTGGCAAAGTTCCTGTGGTCTGTAGCTATGCCCATGTCTACTGGCTGGTGAAGACTGACATAATGTCATTGGGTGTGTGTATGTGTCAGGATATCATAATATTTAGTTTAGTAACTCTGGTCGCACTGGTGGGATTTGGGGTGAGTGTTTATTAGATTTGGCTTGGCATATCACTGGTTTGTTTAAGTTGTTCCTAACTGTATCATATTCTAATTTTTAACGCTTGAAATCTTATGAGATACAGATAAGAGTTGGATAGATCAATGGAAGATTGGATTTGACAGATACCATCATATCCTTTTGTAAGGGCAACCTTCACACACACAGTAAATCATGTTTTAATGGGCCTACATGGCTGTTGATGCTTATTTATGTTTAAAAAGTGGGCTCTGGCAAAACATGATCAGCCTTTCAGTTTGTTCAAACATACAAAGATACTAAGTGCTGTTGCAGCTCTTTCAATTTAATGTGATACAAGGTACTGAGCTGTTGTTGCAGTGTCTGGTCATCAGCTGTTCAATAGAAATAAAAAATACCAAACAGCAAACCAAAACATAGAAGATCTATTATTAACGTAACAAAAGGGATAAAAATCAATGGACAAAAGAATCAACAGAGATCTTAAACATCATGGAAACAGCGAGATGCTTAAAATAGCGATGTGCTGGACACATTACAAAAATTAGTAATGGATTAAAGCAGCTGAAACTGATTTCAAGAGGCATAAATGTCAGAAGAGCACATAGAAAAGGAGATCAGATGTTTTCCTGGAGTAACCTGTTGAAAAGCAGAGATAAATCTTAAAGAGGCCATTATTCAGCTGATGATGATGACAAATATCATGTGAAACAATATACTTTTTAAATAAATTTACAGTTATAAAATGTAATCTTGAATCACAGCTGAAGTTATTCTTATCAATGATGCAAATCACTATTTCAGGTATATCAAGATTTGTGCATATAGAAAATATGTATTCTTGAGTTTTAAGTTACAGTTCAGGATTTTCACAACAAATAAAAATCTATTTTTGTGCTTAATTGTTTTCTAAAGTTTTCTTATGTAGACAACTTTACTTGTCATGTTTAGTGTAGCTTCTATTCCTCAATCTAGTGAGGCTTCATAAGTAGAATAATACAGTATATATACAGTATAATGTGAGAATTCAGTGAAATACTTTCCTTAAAATGTCCCCTAAAACCGTTCTCAGATTTTTCAAATTTTTAGTATTTGTAAATTGTTTCTTTTTATGTGTGGTTTTATGGAGTATTAAGAATAGTGGTATGTGCAGCTGTATGGCAGTATATACGTAATAATTATTGAAATTTATGAACAAGGAAGAATTCTTTTTAAAAATAAACTTATTACATATTTAAGGTCATTCTACACCTTTTACAACTGACTTGACTGGTGAATTCCCATTACCACAATGGCACAATGCAAAGAATATAGATTTTCACATTAAATGAATGCTGTTGTGGCCACATTTTTTAAGTTTTAAAAACAAAACCTGTAAACCCATTTTCCTAGCCTGAAATGCCTGGGAACTGGAACTGTGAGCAAGAGGCCATTCAAAGGTACCAGCTAGATTTCTTTTTTCCCCCAGACAGAAAACAACATTCTCATAAGGCAGACAGGCAGATTAATGGTTAGATTAATGTTAGCTATTGCAAGGTCCTGCGTGTGTCTTTATTATTTCTCGCACAAGTGCATAGGGCACACGAAATGAACTGCAGGACAAATATGTGCACCTCAGTCTTTTAATCAAGTCAGCCATTCTTTTAGCAAGACCACATTTCAAACAGCATTCAAATATTAATCAAGTACTGGCAAACACCCCTGCTGTCAGCAGGCAATTGTGCAATTGTCAGCCAATCTGTGTTATTAATTACTGTTTTTAATCACACTTTCACCAGTTAACTAACTTTATCTGCTGTCAGAGTCTGGTTTGTGCTTCTGCTTGGATGACCTTCTGGTGCACACAGGGACAGCTGGCAGTATAGAATTGAGCCCATTTCTGTAAACTGAAAATTCTGTAATATTCAAGAGAAAGTGGGTGGGGTGGTGAATCAGTATTGTTCACAGCTAATATAATAAATAATGATGTTTAAAACTTGTAGCAAGTAAGATATAAAGTTTATCTAACATCCTCAAATGGTGAGAAAATAATAATAATAATAGCTTACACTTATATAGCGCTTTTCTGGACACTCCACTCAAAGCGCTTAACAGATAATGGGGACTCCCCTCCACCACCACCAATGTGCAGCATCCACCTGGATGATGCGACGGCAACCATAGTGCGCCAGAACGCTCACCACACATCAGCTATCAGTGGGGAGGAGAGCAGAGTAATGAAGCCAATTCATAGATGGGGATTATTAGTAATGATTTGTAAGGGCCAAGGGGAAATTGGGCCAGGACGCTGGAGTTTCACCCCTACTCTTTTCGAGAGATGCACTGGGACCACAGAGAGTCAGGAACTTGGTTTTACATCTCATCCAAAGGAAGGCGCCTGTTACAGTATAATGTCCCCGGCACTATACTGGGGCAGTAGAACCCACATGGACCACCTTCCCCCTGCTGGTTCCACTAACACCTCTTCCAGCAACCTTAGTTATTCCCAGGAGGTCTCCATCCAAGTACTGACCAGGGTCACACCTGCTTAGCTTCAGTGGGTTGTCAGTTGTGAGTTGCAGAGTGATATGGCTGCTGGCTTATATAATAATAGCTGTTTTTGTTTTTTGTAATTGTCCACATCTCTTGTCCATTTTACATTTGTTTTTGTTGTTGTCAGAATACTTTTTTTATACATTATTACATGGCTATTGTATTTATAATGATTGTTCAGAGTCATAATTTATATATCAAAGACAAAAAATGTAACAGTAAATGTAATGTTTATTGTCCTTTTTCCTCAATTGTGTTTCCAATAATTGTTCTGGGGTGAAAACCACAAACATGGAAATGTAATTATTTGTTTCATAGAAATGTGTACTAGAGCACCTGTCCATATATGAAGTACTTCAGTTTTTGATTAACATTCATAATTGTTCTTGTTAAACCATGTATTTTTACTTGACCCTTTATGTAACCAAATAAGTCAACTGTGGACAAATTCTCATTTACAGTGACATAAAAGTCAATTAAAGAGAAAAAAAATATTGATTACATACTGGATGTGTGCATATGAGCTCAAAGCCTTTTCTAATTATAAAATAAATGAGTTCCATGTTTATGTGATTGTGTGATTTTCAGATGCTGATGAAGTTAAAGAATCTAGCCTTGGAAGCTGAGATGGAGCTGGAACGACAGGATGAGGCACTAGATGCAATCACTTCTTCCACTGACCAGGCAACAACTCACATTGAAAAACACACCCGCCGTATGAAGAAGATGTTGTAGACGCAAAACAATAGCAAACACACTGCCCATTATGAAAAGGGCAAGCACTCACAAGTCTGAGAAACAGCAGGATTATTCTTGAAGTAACATTGCCGCTGCGCTTTTAACTGAAGATGCATGGCACAGAGTGAAGCTGTCAGAGAATCTTAACTTTACAGTTCTAGGTGTCTGTTTTTCGGGTATAGTACATCAGACTTTTTCACTGTTTTGATCTGCTGTGCACAACAAGAGCAGTAGTGAAATGCCATAAAATAGAATCTCTTAAATTGTTATTGGTATTTTGTTTTGAGTATAATTATCTTTACCAGAAATATATTGTTCATCGAATACTGTACACAGCCACTAACACTAACTCAGTGATGGAGTTACATTTGGTTTAAATATTATTTGTCACATGTTCCTAGATGAAGGGTAATGGGTATTTCTGCATTGCATATAATACGAGGTAATGTATATTTATTAAAACTCAAGCATAGACGATATCAATGTACTGCATACACTTGACTGTACTGAACTCCACACTTTTACCTGTTACTGTATGTAGCAGCTTACTGCTGTTTGCCTTTGAGGTCTATAAGCTGTAGACAGTCACAAGACAATCCAAGACTATTATTTTTAATGAAATAGTTTTGCACAGTTACCCTGAGCAATAACAATAGATATGTACTGTAGCTGCACTGCCTATCTTTTACATTAGTCTTGTCCTTTAGCAGGGGATTTTTACAGGTTATATTTCTGTTAGTGATTGTTTTTATGCCTAAACATTGTAATTAGAATACTGTACCTCAGAGCATGTCATGCATGAAGCCTACTGTAGTAAATAGTTCCAGGAAGCATGTTTGTTATGCATGTCAAAAGGTCATAAATGTAATTAAACTATTTTGCATGATATCCTTATTGTTAATCATATTACTTCGAGCATTAGTCAGTTTTAATAATTCACCCATTGTCAACTGGTTATAAATTCTATATTACACTTGAGATGAATGAATAGAAGTGAATACTTTCATTACAGAAATGAGTGGTTTGACATTAATTTTTAATAATAATATTCAATATAAGAGTGATATTCAGTTTTTCGCCCTTGAAGTGGATTTTGCTTTAGATGTTTGAAACTGTCATATCACACATGGATGTATTAAATGTTGATGTTTGAAGTATGGCTTCATAAACCAAAGGTATTGTAGTTACAGTAATGTACTAAGGGCATATAGTGAATCGATAACAAACTCCCATCAGTCTGTTCTTGCTTGGACAAAATGTAAATTAGTTCATAAGGATATTTACAGAAAAAAATAGGAATTTTGAAAGTGCATCTGCAGAGAATTTGCTGATATAACTTAGATTATTAAACTTCTTCAAGGTTCTATGAATCTTGCTTCAATATCCTTTAAAAGCAAATGAACACATTTGAATGCTGATTTTTCATAGCACTGTCTTCTTTTCTTTTAGGGAGCATTCTGACTTAAAGGCAATCAGTTGTAAATACACAGATGGTAGTTTCACACTAGTGGCTTTTCAGCAAAGCATATACAGTACCTGTACATCAAATGTCAGAACCTGTGGTTCCTGTTGTGCTGAGCAGGATTACTCTTGCAACAACACATCAGCTGGAAAAAGTAACCTGTCAATAACCAGTGATAACAGTCCAATGACAGTCTTGTCACTAAATAAACATTTACAGATGTTTAGGAAAGTAATGCTTTTCATTTGCAGTAATGTAATTACCTTCTTAGGCCCTTTAAGTCACAGTACTTACGTATTGTATACTGCAGTTTTGAAATGTTCCTATTGGATCAAGTCTGTAAGGATTCTGAACTTGGCTAATTGAATTTAAGTATGTTGTGGAACAGTCTTATCATGCTCATATGTTTAAATTTCCAAAATGCTGATTACTAATTTGCACTAAAAACCCTGACATAAATTATGGTCCTTTCTTTCACTTTTATGGCTGTTATTAAATGCAAAGTGGTTTTTGGCAATGTTTGCTGTCTATATTGTGTAATGTTACAAAGACGTTTTGAAAATAGTGTACCTTGCTTAGTTTACATTGATGCACATAAAGAAAATTCATTATCTGTTATAATACATACCATACATATTATATATATAGCAGTTAGAGCAATATATTTTTTAATTTACTGGAAATCAATGGTACAAGTTGACTAAAATCTAGGAATAATATATACTTTAGTTTTAATGATCCCAGGAAAACAAAAAAACTAAAAAGGCAACCAGTACCACTTATCATGCATGATTACTAGCCGGATTTACCACTAATCCAGATATTTACTATATGTAGGAGGACTTTATTCATGGTTTAGAAATTAAAGAGCTGTGCCTTGAGTGAAAAGAGGCAAACCATAATAAATGTCAGAAAACTCCCTCCCAGGCAAGCTGGATTTGTGTCTTTGCAGAGTTGCTTGGTTACTGACTTTGTTTCTTAAAAAGGCAGCAGTTTACCTGTTTTCACAAGTGAACCACATAATGTTTGTATTAAGGATTTTTGAGGAAATTGTTAAGAGTTCAAGTGCATTACTTCACTAAATCAAAAACAAATGTAAGTGGTTAGTTATTATGACTAGCACTGATGTGATATGTAATATTTCATTTTCCTCACTGTCTCATAACATATTTTTGAGAAATAGCTGTGAGGATTATTGTCATAATCTTAGCATTTATTAAAAAAAACACATTTACAGAATTGCCTTGCGTGCAGCTTTGTTGATATGTGAAATGTCTTCTTTTTTATTTAGTGTGCTAATATGCAGTATGAATGTCCAGTGTGATGCAGGGAGAAGGGAGAAATTGGAAATGTATTGAAAATTAATGTGCAGCAACATTAGGTTTTCTCTCTAAATAAAAAGGCAGATCTTAGTTTGCTTCTTTTTACAGTTGAGCCAGATTCCAGGAATTGAAATTAAGCAGACATTACACATTTCATATTTTTTTCCAAATTTATAGAAATATAGTATTAATGTGTTAAAAATATGTATGAAATCTGTATGTTAATACTGTATTTGCTGCTGTGGGATCCTGTATTCAGTTCCTGACTGGGGCACATTCTGTATGAAGTTTGCATGTTCTCCCTCGTTAATGTGTGCTTTCACTAAGGGCACTGGCTTTCTCCCACTTTCCAAGGCCACATTGATCACAAAAATCAGTAGCTCTAACTTGTCCCTGCATGTGTGTGCGGGCCCTCACAGTGTAGTCCTATCTTGTGTACTTCCAGAACAGGCTTTGAGTTGCTACTTCCACCCTTCCCAGAAGTAGCTGACATTTTGATAAGGGATGACATGCTAAGGGATAAGGGAAGACTTATTTTGAAAACAATATTTTAGTGCATTACAATAAAATTACTTCTCACAAAAAGGAGCCTTACAAGTGGGTTGTGCTGGTAATGTGCCACCCTTGTAGTTTTCATACTTGGGAGGGAAATGATGTAGAAAAACATGCACTTCAAGGACACTCAGACAGGCTCTTGAAGAAAGTCTTTTCAAATTCTGCGACTACAGGAAGAATGATTTGTGAAACCGCAGCAGACTACAAGGATCTTAGTAATCCCACAAAGTCTTTTTTAATAATGTTGTATGAGTTAAAGGAAAATAATAAATTTCCTTTACATGTACTTTGAAGCCATGAATACATTTTCCTTCAGAAGCATTAAAACAAATGTGTAATTTCAGTAGTGTATCAAGGAAAATGTTTTATTTATAATATTTGTAGTTTTGTCATATTCTTTGGATGTACAGTAAGTGTCCTTTTTAAAGATTTATTTCCTTAAATGTATTCATTGATCCTTTATCTCAAATTCTTGTAAAGATGTGTTTTTATTATTAAATCCATAATAAAATACCTACATTTTAATATGTAATAGTTGAATGCAAATGAAGGTCTTTTATTTCGACAGCATTCTGTAGTTAATATCTGTGAGTACTCCCATATGATGTAGATTTTTGGCTTGCGATAGTCATTTATAAACCTGTATTCCCAGTTGCCTTTCCTGGAAGGAGAAATGCAATGACGATAACATCTTAGACATAAACAGTCTCAGCACAGATGATGTTTGACACAACGAAAATGGAAGTTTTTATCAGCGTCATATTTTCAATGAGAGAATTGCTTGGGGGTATGTATTTGACTATGGGAGAACAGCTCTGTTTTGGTTACTCCACATTTACATCTGTCTATACAGGTATCTCACTTTTCCCCTGCAGGGCTATAGAGGCCTTGTATTTCACTATTTTGTTAATCTGTATCTTATTTTTCATTAACATTTTTTATTGTAATTCCTTTTTTCCTGTTAGTCCCATCGTCACCACCTGATCCTCCCTGTGATTAAATTTCTTTTATGTGAAAACAGAGGAAAAAGTAAGCCACCATATTACATACCTACAGAATAATGGAACTGCATTTTTATCTGTTTAAAAACAGGAGAGAATATTTTCCAGACCATTTTTTTATATTCTATACACTGTATACACTGCCTCAATGATGAGAATCTGTGTTCTGTCAAAATCTGTGGCCCTTTTCATTTGAACATTGATAGTAGGCTCAGGAGTTAAAGTAAAACTTGATCCTACTATATAGTACAGAGGAATATGTCCAATACCAAAAGTGCAATGCTAGAGTTGTTCTAATTATATTGTACTGCACTTTAAATACAGTTCATGCTGTGCCTGTTGTCTCCTATTGTGATATGTATATTATTGATTTTAATATGCCCTTTAAAACTGTTCTAATGATGGTGATGTGGCTTTAAATAAACACTACTCTGAAGTGACTTCCTTGCTGTTGCTTACTGTTTTATTTGGGGAAAGAATATTAGCCTTTGTGCACTTCTAGACACGACAAACTAAACTAAATGGGATATGTCTTTTCAAAATTCCACATATCGGCAGGATTATATCTAAAATATATTATTCATCTCAAAGCTAAAATGTTAATATATTTGAATAATACTCCTTTTTATATCCCTATATTAAACATTTCTGAGTGTATTTTATACATTTTTTGTAATGTACCATTAAAGCCTCTGTACATACTGTATCTCTTCTGAAAATGTGTTCAGTGATCTCTGGGGTGAATGAGAAAGTTGTTCACATTCAAGCAGCTACACAAAATGTAAATAACGATGAGGATACAAAGTCTAATCAAATATAATGGAAAACACATGCAGGGGGACATTAACCTTTATCTTTTCCTCTCCTGATCTATTAATAGATCTGTCTGTGTGTCTGTGTCTCATGGAGGTCAAGCTGGGGTATGCGAAAAGACTATTACCTAATGCAAGAAATTGTATAGGGCTAATAAAGTGATGTTATGTTATATGTTATGTTAATATTTATCAGGTAGTCTATTTTGTGCCAGTTTTTCAAGTCAGATATTACTGGCACATGTTCTTTATGTATACAGTGTATAAAGTGTGTCTGTTCTCTATAATATATAGAGACTAAACTTTAATTCATCTATATTATTTAAGCCTTAGCATAGGAAATCCATTTTACATTTTTTAAAGATCTGTTATACTGTACTGTAGTTTTTCAGTATTGTTGCAATTGTTACACTGTTCAGTTACCATTGCTTTTATTATTCTTTATACTTCTTTAAATTTGACAGCTTTAAAAGCTGTAAATGGAATCTGTAGCTGTTCAAAATCTAGATGGTAAAAACTTGTAAAATTTCAAAAAACTTGTAATATTTCAAAATATTTTTCATTTGGTGTGAGTGTTGTAAATTAGACACTATCCACCGATGCACATATTTTCAAATACCTTCAGGTTTTGCCCACGTTTCTTGGTTCTAATTATTAATAAGTTCTAATTCTGATTATGATGAACTTCTTGAAATGCAGATGGATTAGCAGCTTTCTCTTTGCTTTCTCCCAAACCAAATTCACTCACTGAACTATGCAACTGGCACACTGTACGTTACACTTGTCACCCTCTGTCTATGCAATAAAGATTGTCACCCTTTACTAGTGTGTTATGCTGAATGCACTAAATATATTATGTACAGTAGATGCTGTAAGGGGTCTTACCCGTTGAATACAAAGAACAGATTTTAAAAGTGCCAATTTTAAAGGCATTGTTTTGTTTGAGAGAGAATCTAACCAAAAATATTAAGAAATTGATTTCCCATGTTTCTCATCACAACCTTCTACACTGCAGCTGCTTTTGCCAAAATGTTTATGTTGAAAAAAATCTCTGATGAATGCGAGCCATGATTTGCTTATGACAAAGAGTAAATTAGCTACAGTTTTATTTTATTTTCTTGCTCGCTGCTTATTCAAGAATTGATATGAAATTCTGATACAGTATATCACTGAAAGGAGTTTTTGTGCGCCAGTTTTCCAGACCCTTGTTAGTGGTTTTATTCAGCAGGATGATGTGAAGAGTATGGAGTACATTAGTAAACTAAGAGCTCTAGAAAGCAGGTTTCCAGTTTCTACCGATGGGACAGTAGATATGGTATGCAGATAATCTAACTAGGTTTTAAATGACCATTAAGTTACTTCATTCCCAAAAAGATATATGGTCTATTTTTCCTCTGCTTTATGAACCAGATTATTGTAAACAAAATAACATAACAATGCTAATAGTAAATTAATATTACAGTTTGGAAGTGCAAACATAATGGAGTTTGCTGGTTTGCTCATTTGAGTACTCTGCTGTGTCTTTTCTAGATGTTGTGCATATGTTTTCCCTTCACAGCTCATTAATTCATGTTGACTTTGGGAGTGCAGATGAAAACAATGGTCAGGTCCAGCAAGTTTGCTCTTTGGGTTCAGGACTGCCACAGTGAAGGCTAGAGTCCATTTGGATGACGGCCATACTAAGCAGGTGTTAATCCAATAAAATTGAAAACACTTAAATAGACCTAACAGGAAAAAAAAAGACCTTTAAAGAGGTCTATACACGACGCCGAATGAAACGCTTTTCATTTATGTAAAGGATTTTAATGACAAGGGAGTCAAGATTAGGTAGTTTCCCACATTTAGAAGGAAAGATCTGAATAAAAAATAGGAAATGAGTGCACCTCTCAGAACACCTGTCACAAGAATAATTGCAAAGCCATTTTTTTGTCTTTAAAGAAAGCTTGAAAACTGTACTTGGTCCCCTGTCATGCAGTAGAGTAAGAAGATTAAAGTGACTTGTTATTATGCACTTTTGGAGCAATCTCACATTAAGCTATAATATGACTTGGGTTTGAACACATGGTAAATGATAGATTTATCCTGCATCCACAAAATATGTGATAACCTTGCACATTGAAGATTTAAAAATTACACTTTTGGAGAAAAATGCTTAAAACCTAAAATGGAGGAATTTGTTCAGTTTTGAGGGCATTTTGTGTAAAAGTGCAAAAAAGGTTAAGAAAACAATTATAAATTATGAAAGGAAAAAAATTATTCAGAGAAGTTATTTCCTCTGTTTCTTTGGAAATGTAAAACTGTCAGTTGACAGTGCCCACTGGACATAATTGATACCACAAACTTGCATTTAAACAAAATTTCCACCCAACTATATTAAAAAAAAAAACGTGGTATGATAAGTACAACTGACAACCACGACAAATGCCCTCAAAATAAACATGCTACTCTGTGCTGAATAATTTCCTCAGTTGTTTTGTGCCTATAAACTTTTTGGCTGTCTCTAGATATTTATTTGTTTTTAAAATTTTTCCAATGCACATAGTCACTTCAATGACTACAGTGAAATAGAAAAAATATTCTGGTAGAGCCAGTTATTTTTTATCGTTATTTGCTAAAACTATATATACTGTAAATATAAAAAATAAATACGTGTACAGTATTTTCAGAAAAAATAATGAATTTTGAATAAAAACAAGGGTTTACATGTGTTAATATTTTGGCATGAAAAGTTACAATATATTTTTAGATAATTTGTTGAGGATCCTCAAGTCCACACCTTATGGTTTGGGAAATTACCCATGAAGTTAAATAAAAATAAAACATTTAAAACACAAATGTGCCAAATAGTCTATAGTAATGGTAAATACTGTTAGAGTGGATAATTGCATTATATGATTTAGTCAGTTATATACTATAAGACTTATGAAGGGTGAGTTGAAATTTCTTCTTAATTTATTTTGCTTAAAAATAAAAATTATTCTTCATAGGTTAAAGTAAGTATGTATTGGTGTCACCCAATCCATATAAACTCTATGCAGTGATTGAGCTCTTATCACGTTCTAGACCAGAAGACTCATCCAATTCTTTATGGAAAGCCTGAAGCCTCTCGGGTACTTAGCATACAGTATAATCACCTGACTTCCAGCCAGTCAAGATAAAAATGTTGAGACTATATCCACTGTGTGCAGACAGAAGTTGTAATTTAATTATATATAATTAAATATATACACATACCTTCATATTCTGTTCATTTTAAATAAATTTAAAGTATCAAACGTCTAGAGCACTAGTAGGTTTAAAGTAGTTTTAAACTTTTAGTGACATTTGAAGTGAAGAGCTTGGTGCATTCCCTTCATGGGCCCAAACTATGGATTTGGACAGAAAGCAAATATGAAATAAAAACGTTTTAGTAGCTGTGTGTACAATTTGAGACCCCATATAAAACCTGACAATTTGTCTCAAGCACTTCCCCATTATATAGATTTCCCTCTTATTTATTCAAAGAAACTGCTTGCTGAGGCCAAACCAGACCACATCTGTTTAAGATGCTTGAT